GACGAGCGGAAGAAGATACCAAACTTGGTCCGATTCGCCGTACCACGCCAAGTATTCTCCGATGAACACATCGATTATACGGTCGCTGCTATCAAAAAGCTACATGACTGTAGACATGCTATACCCAACGTCAGGATCATTAGGGGAAAAGACATGAGTCTACGGCACTTCTCATGTGGAATGGAGCTGGTTCCCGTGGACCCTAGCATTCGAGGAACATGGTACAGCGAGGCGAGTGGACAGGTATCTCGCCTATCTCAAGCTATAGGACAGGAAGAGGTGCCACGGACGCAGCTGCTCGACGCACTTCGTCTAGCGACCGGTGACTGGGGCCAAGAGACTGTCCCAAATACTCTAGATCCCGCGCGCTGGGCATCATCCTTAGGCAAGGACCATTCGCCATTTCAATATGCAGTCTGGTTGGATCAAGAGACGGGTGGAGCCGAGCTACGGGTGATGTTGGAGGCTCAACCGGAGGGTGCCAGCCTGACGAGCCTCCAGGAGAGCGCACTGAAGCTGAACGAAGCTATCAAGATGAACGGCGATGGAGCGGTCTCGCTAGATCAGTTCGAACTCATTCGAGATCTCTTCATGCCCGAGAACCCCGAAGGGAAATTTGCTTTGAGGCACGACTACGCGGCCACGGGGACCGGGCTGGATTGGAAGATATACTTCGACCCTTCGGCATCCGGGCAACACAACGTGCTGTCCACGACCCGCCGGGCGTTCGAACGTCTCGGTTTGGCCAGCGAATGGGCCCTCGTTGAGGGCACCATGACGCCGTCTGACTCGGTCATGTACTTCGGGCTCGACCTATCCGCCGGCCCAGGAAACCCCGGCGTCGAAGTGCACATCTACCACAGCGCGGCCACCGCAGCAGCCATTGCGCGGCGGCACGAGGCCGTCTGCACGCAGGCGAGCGGATGGGAGATCCAGCGGTTCTGCGAGATCATGACCGGGGGCTCGGCCGGGCCCTATACGGGCCACCCCGTGGCGTCGAGCTTCACGTTCTCGGGCCGCGCGGGCGTCGGGGCCGTGCACTTCCCCGTCGCCGAGTATGCGGGCGACGACGGCGAGGTCCAGCGGCGCGTCGAGCAGTACATGCTGGCGAGGTCGGTGCCGGCGTCGTTCCAGAGACGCTACAGGAAGAGCATCAGCGCGGTCCAGCGCCGGCCCCTGACTGCGGGACCAGGGCTGCACTCCTGGGTGGGATTGCGGCAGTCGGCGAGCGGCGCCCTGTCGAACGTGTTCTGGCTTTCTGCTGAGCTTCTTGCGGGCGCGAAGTGAGAGAGAGTATTTGGGTATGGTGGTAAACCAGGATTGTCAGCGACGTAGTTGGGGTCGGTAGTTAATCTAGGAAGCTTGGCTTGCCGTATCAATACAAGAGCCTCGAGAGGAGGGATCTCAATTGAACACTTAGCTTGGGCTGTTCAGCATTTGCGTTGCGCGTAAGAGTCATTCGGATGTAGAAAAATAATATGTTGTGAGAAGCAGCGAGAGGCGTATCTGAGCGAGTCAATCGGCGTGTATGAGTCACATCAATAGCGCCAAGCAACCGATTATCATTTTATAGGCGATGAGGCCCTCGTCACATTGCCCCGTGCTAACAGACGGGCTATTACTTAAGTTTTCTTCATGCCCGCGCTGGGATGCCAATCGTTTACATTGTCGCGTTGCTTCACCTTGATTCCTCCGATCAATCCAACCAAGCCCTTTCTCATAATGTCTCAATCAACGACTGCAGATCCGGCGTTCAGCGCCGTCCGCTACGTCTCTACGAACGACGCCTATGATAGATGGGCAAAAGTATATGATAGTGAGTATGTATCCCAACGTCCCCATTTCCCCGTTGTTTGCGAGAGCTTCAGGAATGAGCCAACTTAGTCCAAGAGATGATTACTAACGTCTGCATTCTTACAGTGGCAACTTTCTGCAGGCACTGGACGATATGGAGCTCAAGACTTTATTTCCACGTTTTCTGACGTCGATCAAGTCGCCTGAGCCCTGGCGCATCGTGGACTTGGGCTGCGGTACCGGCCGCAACACGGCGCTCCTCCTCGGGGTCCCCTCGAGCGAGATCATAGCGCTGGACTCGAGCAAGGGCATGCTGGAGGTGGCCAAGACGCGGCTCTCGGGCTCGGATGCCGCCGCCTCCGGGACCACCAGCCTCCGCTTCGACATCTTCGACATGCTGGCCACCTCGGCGGCCCCGGCGTGCGTGGCTCCCCACACCGCGGACGCCGTCATCAGCACGCTGGTGGCCGAGCACGTCCCGCTCCCCGCGTTCTTCGCGCACGTCGCACAGCTCCTGCGCCCGGGCGGCGTGCTCCTTCTGACCAACATGCACTCCGAGATGGGGTCCATCTCGCAGGCCGGCTTCGTGGACGCGGCCACGGGCGAGAAGATCCGGCCCACGAGCTACGCCCACACCGTGGAGGACGTGGTCACGGAGGCGCGGAGACACGGGCTGGAGGCCGAGGAAGACGGGGAAGGGACGGGAATCTTAGAGAGGGCTGTTGGTGAGGATATGGTCGGGAGGCTCGGACCCAGGAGCAAGAAGTGGGTGGGCGTTACATGCTGGTTCGGGGGTATTCTTCGCAAGGTCGATACATCACAAGGTTGATGTAGCGTAACTTAATGAATAAATGATTATGAAAATGTTCAAATCATTATGTTGCGCAGACCCCTCAAAGCTAGGCCGTGGAACAGATGGTGGTCCGAACGTTTATAGTGGATAGAGGGGAGAAAAGCAAAACCGCCCAGGATTGCCGTTTGAGGAAGCAAGAAGTAAGACGGCGGCTGATATGGCCGAGATGAGCAACCTGATACCTAGGTAGATGAATGTGTGAAAACATTTTGTCGTCATCCCTTTTTCGTAGATGTACGTGAGGACTTAACGAGGTTTTAGTCAAGTGATAACTACCTAGTAGATATATGTCACACTCTTCTGCAGACTCAATTGCCTCACCACTCAGTAGTAAAATGGCGGCGCAAAGAGTTCCCTACGGGTGGGTCCTATAATGGAATTATCAAGTACACAGTATGGCTGAATTCTGCAGCCAGACATGTCCAACCGCAGTCCTTCCCCCATCTGGACTCACTCACAAGCAACGCGTCCGACCGCAGTTATACGCAGAGGTCCAATCTCAGATCCCATCTGTCCTTCTACACCGAAGCACAGCCAAGTTTACCTAGGGTATAAAACATGCCCTCCCCAGCAGCCCTCACGATCTACGCATTTGGCATCACCGCCCTGCTGGCGGGCGTCTCATCGCTCATAGACCCCGCCTCGTCGGTCTCGCAGCTCAACATACCCCTCGCCTGCACACCCGCGGCGCGGGGCAACGCGCTCGCCGCCATCGGCATGGGGCTGTACTATACCCTGGCGGCGTACCAGGAGAATACAGTCTTCTTCGCCGCCACCGTGCCTATGCGGCTGCTCACTACCGTGGTCTTTTTCTCACAGGCCTGGACCGTACCGGCGGTGTGGGAGGGCGCCGGCGCGGCTGCGACGGGTGTCGCCCTCCTGATGCAGGCGAGGATGAGTGGGAAGAGCAAAACTGGTTAATGAAGGCTCAGGACTTCTTCTACGCCGGATCTGGCGTAGTGACATCAAATTGAGAGCAGCGCGGTGTATGGGGGAGCGACACAGGTTGTCAGGAAACTGAGACGCATCGCATGTGGTCCTTCTAACCCATGGAGTTTCTGGCCAAATAATTGGAAGCTATGCTTTACATCTACTTAGCTTTTCCCAGCGCTTCCAATGAGAATAACGATCTCATGAAGTGGAAGCTTGCAGACATAATTGATCTCTCTACAGCAGCAGCAATGTTGGCGAGGGCAGGAATTGCCTAATAGGGATTGCCTAAGTCTACCAACTATGGATAGGTACCTACCAGTTAACACTCCCCCTTTTATGATGCAGAATAAAACTATATACTTGCGCTTTAGTTGACTTTATTAATCGACCCTTATTTTTCCAACCACGAGCTCATTGGCAAGTACTTTCAACCTCCTCCCGCTGCTACCCTAAACCGGGGCTATTCTACGATCATTCGAGGACATTGTCCTTAGTGCACGACATGGAACCAGTCGATAGACTCCCCGTTCTGATACGATGTCCCGGTGACGTTCCAGTCGGCCCTAATGAAGTAGAAGATCTCCGGGCCGATAAAACCTGCGTCGCCACCAATAGGCTCGACTTTCCAGCTGTATGCCCCATTGGTGAGTGGCAGCGCCTCTGATCGCGATTATGTCAGTAACAAAAATATGTGAAAGATCCGTTTATCACTGACTCTCGAGAACGACGTCCCTCAAGTCGTACAACCCTATCTGGGATCCGAAGGGCCCCGGGATGAAGCCGTAGGGGGTGGTGTTCTCAGCCCTCAGGGTTAGAACGAAGGTGGGAGCGGGCTTGTTGGCGATCTCCCACTTCAGTTCGAGCTCGCTACCGATGGTGAGGTTGGCGTGGCCTGACGGGCTCGTGAAAAATGTCCGCGCCGTGGCGGCGAGAAGGGCGGGAATGGCGAGGTATCTCATTATTGGCTATTGGTGGCCTCTTTTAGAGGGTCTGGAGTGGAAATGCTGTCACGATCATAAGACGCGATGCCCTTATTTATACGCGACTGTTACCCGCTTCAAAGTCATTACGTGCTCATCACGGGGAGCAATACCGCTCCGGCGGTGATTAGAGCTTTCATAAAAGGCAGGTCAAATCGTCAACCTAGACATATACTCTGCATTTGTCATTGCGAAGGCTACAAATTTATGTTGTTGTCCGTGATGCGAGCAGTAATATGGTACGTAAGCGCTTCAGACAGGAGCCCTGTAAGTGGCGCGCGCATGCTCGCATCTTCGCATCTTCGGATCAGGGCAGCAAACCCGGGGTCGAAGCGGAGTGCCTCCAATCACCTTTAACTACCTGACCTTAGGTACCTAACTAGGCTGTGAAGGTTGGTAGTTATAGATACATGTTATACCGAAAAGCAACATCGAACAACGGCCTCGTGGCCCAATGGCAAGGCGTCTGACTACGATGGAACACTTCCGCAATCAGGAGATTCTGGGTTCGACCCCCAGCGAGGTCACGTTATTTTTTCGATTATCTTTTTATCGACAATCCTCGGATGATACGCCAATTCAGAGGCAACCATCCCACCCAGAATTCCCTTCTGACCTGCCTCTCTTCAGGCAGCCCCTTTCCCCCGCCGGAAGCAATCCCCCGATGTACAGGTAAGATCAAACCAAGACATAACCACGGCCTCCTGGTTCTGGATGTTATGCGTCACCCCACCGGCGCTGTACGCCTCGAACCAGTGACTGTTGCCGTAGACGTACTTGGTCCAATTGGCGACGGGCGTGTTGGCCGTCGAGCTGGTGGGCGTCTGGCTGTACCCCAGCACGGCGTTCCACTCCTTGACCTCCTCCTCGAAGTTCCTGTAATTGAGCGTCTCGTCCTCGGTGCCGTGGAAGATCTGCATCTTGGGCCGCCACCCGCTATATCCGGGGTAGGCCGCCCTGACCAGGCCCGCCCACTCCGCCGGCGTGCGCGTGACGGCGCCCCTCGCGCACGCGTCGCTCCAGACGCCGTAGCCGTCCCCGGCGAAGCAGCCGAAGGGCACGCCGGCGAAGGCGGACCCGGCGGCGAACACGTCCGGGTACGCCCCGATGAGCGTGCTCGTCATCATGGCGCCCGACGACACGCCCGTGACGAAGACGCGCGCCGGGTCGCCGCGGTACCTGTCGAGCGCCCAGCGCACCATGCTGACGATGCCCAGGCTGTCGCCGCCGGCGTCGTGCCGCAGGGTGGCGTTGGACGACACGTCCCAGCACTTGTCGGCCGCGTTGGGGCTGTCCGGGTAGATGACGATGAAGCCGTACTTGGACGCCATGGCCGCGTACTGCGACCCGGCGTAGCACGCCTGCGCGTCGCCGTGGCACCAGTGCGGGTTAACCAGGATCGGGGGCGCGGGCGCGAGCTTGTCCGGCACGAAGATGTAGAAGCCTACGCCGCGCGGGTTGGGGCCGAAGTCCTCGGTGACTCGGGTCAGCGAGGCCGCGTCCGCCCCGGCCGCGATGCTGGTCGCTAGCAGCGCCCAGGAGGTGAAGCGCATATTGAGTCCTTTAGCGACGTCTGTAAGATCGACCAACGGGTATGGGTATCCATGGCCGTGAAGTTCAGCTGAAAGACACACACATATATATACGCCGACAGAGACTCTCGCTCTGAGTAGCTCCGCGTTTCGAATGGTCTTTTGCGGACCGATGCGTCGTCGAAGACGGAGATTGGTGTTCCGTCGCCATTCCGGGCTAAGGTTCATAGGACCGCCCATTTTTGACATCCGTCAGGGTTCTACCTACTTACTTACGTATTGCTTGTGTTGCCTGTGATGGAACAGGCGGGAGCTGTAATAACTTAATGTTTTTTTTATTCTTGATACATTGAATCTTTACGTGAGTTTTTTCTTTTCTTTCCTGCGACCTAGGTATGCTACTATGGATCTGCAGGATCACCAATTCTCCACCCTACGAGCTTGACCCTATGCTTACATGTCTTTCAACGTGCGACTTCTTTCAATATGGTTTCTTCTATATATGGTTCGCCTTCTGATGGCTTTTGAAGTATATCTATGTGCCCTGGCAAACGGAAGAAAAGATAGAGCGCGATTGGACAATTCGTTGACGAGTGCATTTGCAATCAACTTTTGTGCTCCTCTTAGTCCTCCTACGCAGCCACTTCTGAGCCACACGATGCGCGCTACCCCAACATGAAGCCATTTCTGGCACAATGATATCTAACATTCGGTATGTATAAGAATATGAGTGATGTTCGTCCTGGCAGCTGGGACCTACCTAGGTAGGTACTGAATCCTACTGAGTGGCGGCAGCCAATGATAGGAGCGATGCACCGAGTCCCGAATCAGTTTATGGACGTTGGTAAGAATTGAGCATCAGCTGAACGAGATGATACCCACGTGCTTAAGAAGGCTCTCCGGCAGGCTCCCCGGTGGGTGTCTACCTAGCCGAGCGTCTACCAAAGAAGTAACAAGTATCTATCTAATAGGTACCTAAAGCGTAAAGGTAGTCGCCGACGGACTTGCGGGTAAGCATCAGAAGTAACTCAAACATAGAGCAGGTAGATACTTACCTACTAAGGACTCATCTTAGGTAATTGAGAGGTACCTAACCGGTAGCCGAATACGGTACCAAGATAGCGCCGGGCACTTTCAGGTTGAGGAAGGTACCTGCCATGCATCCTGTCTGCACGAACTCACTTACAAACTTAGATCATAAACAAAGGAAAAACAGCATGCCCTGGCCGATTCCTCACATTGTCACCTCAAACCTGTCAGCTTCCTGCTGCAATTCATCCTACATACCGACAACCCTCGACCTTCCCCATCATGGCCATTGTCGCTCTCGACCCGGAGGCCATTGAGCAGCCCAGCGATGAACATGAAGCCCTCCTTGATACCATTGACAGCTTGCGAAAACACGGAATTGGCCGTTTTGCAGACCTCCCTGAGATCATAGTTGTTGGCGACGAGTCCTCGGGCAAGTCCTCTGTGCTGGAGGCCATCTTGCGAGTCCGCTTTCCTGACGGGGATGGGCTGTCCACCCGCTTCGCCACTGAACTGGTGCTGCGACCCAGCCCGCAGACCAGAGTCAGTGTGAGAGTACAGCCAGCCTCCGTGTTGCCCGACGTGGATTGCAACTTCAACGAGACCACGTTTGACAAGAAAGATATCCCACGCATCATCAAAGAGGCCAAGGCTTGTCTGCTTCGGGACAAGGTCACATTCTCCGAGGATATCTTGCACGTTGAGATATGCTCGCCGGAAGTGCCCCGTCTGACACTGGTTGACCTTCCAGGTTTCGATCATGCCGAAGAGGACAATCAATCCTCCGACGGCCGTGAGACTGTCGACCGCCTCGTTGAGGCATATATGGGTGGGAAGAACACCATCATCCTAGCTATCGTGTCGGTACGCAAACAGTCTGCCATGGAAAGGGTTCTTTCCAAAGTAAAGGAACACGACAAGAGCCTGGAACGAACTCTTGGCATTCTTACAAAACCCAACCTCCTCACTGCAGCAACCACTTATGAGGAAGAGAGATACATCAGGTTAGCTAAGAACAAAGATAAAGCACATCAACTCGGCCTCGGATGGCATGTCCTGCGCATTCGTAGCGATATAGAGGATTGCCTATCACCTGAAGAGCTGGACTCCAAAGAAAATGCCTTTTTCGAATCTGGAAGCTGGTCTGGCATTCCCTCCAATGACAGAGGCATAAGTACGCTTCGTAAAAAGATTGCCAACATACTCCTAGACAATATTCGGAAGAACCTGAATACACTCATTGAGGACATTCAAAACAACATGGATAACCGTAAAGAATTCCTAAAGAGCCTGGGAACCCCACGTTCGTCTCCAACCGAGCGCCGTGTATACCTCAACGGGATTGCTTCCTAGTTCCAACTCTTATCGCTCCGCGCAATTGAGGGTAACTACTTCGATCCATTCTTTGGTGGGCTCTTTTTTGACAGCTCAAATCTGTCAATGAGCGAGAGCAGGGTCAGAAAGCTTAGGGCTCTCGTTCGCGATCTAAACCGGACCTTTGCTTATGTCCTTGCAACCAAAGGGTCAGGGCGCATTATTGTTCCTGACGAGGCTGATGAGGATAGTGATCATAACAAAAATGAGTATATCCGCAACAACAAGGACAAAAGCAGCGAAGAAATAGGTTTACCGTCGTACTTGCACAGTTTGGAGGCCTATTACCAGTTCAACAAGCCTATAAAAGTCACCAGAAGCGTAATCAGGAACGAACTAGACCGACTCTCGTCTGCCAACCGAGGCACGGAATTCCCTGGTACAACTAACGATCTGTTCACATTGAAGCTGTTCCGGGAACAGTCTAGTCCTTGGGAGGAGATAGCACGCTTTCACATCGACTTTGTACTACGCAATGTGAAGTATTTTACCGAGAAGCTTGTTGCCTATATCATTGGCCCTGACGAAAAGACTCGCTCTGCTATTCTGGTGAACATGGTCGATCCATTCTTCGAAGAACGTACGTCAAAGCTTGATATTCAACTTCAGGAGCTTCTTCGCCATTATCAAACGGGCTACCCGCAACTTTCGGAAGCGGAGTTTCGAGCCGTCTTGTCTGACTGTCACAAAAAGCAACAGACTACAGAGGTGTTGCAAAGTTTATTATCCGCTTACCCAGAGCTACTCACGGAAGAAGGCAAACGCCATCTTGCTGGATTAATTTCGGCTAGACCGAAAACCGAGTTTAACGTAGATAGCCTGATTGACAAGTCGGAAATATACTACGAGGTAAATTTTCCCTATCAAAACAAGACGTATGTCAGCTCACCTTTGGTCTTCCCAGCTATCTCTACGGAACTTCACAGAGAATGTCATTATCCTGGCTATTGAAAACTGTCTGATCATCGATTTACCGACTATCTTGACAACTAGCGCGGTGTCGCAAATGGATGATACCATGTTAGAGCGATTGGCGGTCGAATCATCTGGTATCCAAGTACAACGATCCAAGCTAAGATTGGAGTGTGAGACGCTTCAGAATGGCCTTGACCGCTGCAAGGCTTACAAAACCAGGAAATCACCCAGTACGTGCTCGGAAATCAACTGCCTATAAACTAAACACCCACTAATAGCAATATAGCATTGCCATTAACCCCACTCCAATCTCAAGATGATTTTTCCAAAACTGGTAGGGTATCTACACAAACTATAAATAGTCAACAGAACCTTCGTTTACTATCAGTAAACAATAGCCAAGGCTCAGTGACGCCTAAATCTCCCTCAAGTGGCGTTGCTGCCAAAGGTTCCAAGGCACATAACTCTAACATCACAAGTGATACTAATCAGAGCCACGGCTCTTCATCCAGCGCACTCACCCCTTCGGCAAGCGGGCCATCTAATGGTAGCTTTACTACCACGTTTGGCCTGTTTGCGGACCAGAGTACTGCTTCACCATTCAGTACATTAGTCAATCCGTCCAGTATCACGACTAGCCAAAACCCTCCCTATAAGTTCAATCCTTGGGATACAGG